CCCCCCCCCCCTTTATTTGCATCAGGTTAAGCAAAATGCAGGCTCCTTTGGCTCTCCTCAGCTCTCCAGCTCTGGTAAGTCACCTTTTACTCAGAGGAGTCTCATAGCAGCGGGGATGTATGATTGCGAAGCCTTTCTCTGTGGTGCTTGGTTCCAAACGCTGTCCTGGACAGCGTGGGATCGCGTGGGTTTGTTTTACCGTGGATTTAACAAGGAAGGGAAACAAGGTGACCTCTGGTGACCGGAGGGTGAATCCGACCGTCTTAGCAGACGTACGTTGAACTTGCAGGCCCAAGGGCTTCCCTAAAGATGAGCCAAGTGACGGTCAGAGAGACGCGGTTACCCCTTTCTTCCGAGGGATGAATTAGGAAGAAGACGTTTGTAGTTTAACGCTGGCCGAACCGGTGGGGCGGACGGGACTCGTGCTGTGTTGCGGCGTGTGGCCTGCGGCACTGTCGCGCATGGACTTACTCCTGTTGTAGCCACTTGGATTGTCCTACATCTGCGCGTGCCTTTGCTTTTTAGTCCTGTTTCATTCTTGAGATGTTTTAAAAAGTTCTGAGACTGTTCTTCATAAAATACCTGCTCTTTCCTGAGGATTAGTGCGGACACATCCAGCTACGGGAGTTGATTGTCTTGTGTTTTGCTCCAGTTCCGCTGCTGTTCCAGGGCTCTGGCCAGACCAGCTTCAGTGTCTGTTTTCAGCAGGCCTGAGGTTCAGACGGTTCAGGTGAGACTCTTGCGTGGTAAACCGGGTGCTGTATTTCCGTGCTCGCTGCCGGTGGTACGTGATGGTTCCTCCTGAGATGGAGGAGTAAGTTTGTATGTCGAGAGGATGGCTAGTACGGAGACGTGGCTCCTAGCCCGAATCGGTGATGGCTTAGCAAGCTTGGCTGGTTTTGCCTTGTCTTGACTAGAGGATAAATGTTGATAATCTTTTATTAAAAAAAAAATAAATTTCTGATTAAAAGCGTGTCATTAGCATGCCTCTTCTGTATCCCACAGCCAGCCGGCGCTTCCCGCCCGCCGCTGACCCGCCGCGAGTTCCAGACCAGTGCTCTTTCCAGGGATATTGACACTGCTGCGAAGTTCATCGGTGCCGGCGCTGCCACGGTCGGGGTGGCTGGTTCAGGAGCGGGTATCGGGACGGTGTTTGGCAGCTTGATCATTGGCTATGCCAGGTAAGTACGGTGCCAGGCTGGCTTGAATTTATTCCCTTCTCCCAGCACTAAACTGAACGATGAGTAGAGTTTTCTCGGGAATATAGGTCCAGCTCTGCGCGGGTAGTGCATCTAAGCAGACACCGCGTTTAACTGACGCAGTCCTCCTTGGAATATAAAACGGCTGTTACAATCCGTTGTTCTGTTAAAATAAATAAGAGGGCGCCTGGATTGTTTGAACCCACCCTGTACGTGCTTCTGAACGGTGCAGCTGCTCTGTGGAGCTCTGCCCGCCCCCAGAAGAAACGAAGCAGTAGTTGTTAGCGGGAACTTGTCGCTTGGTGCCGCCGGGGCGGGTGAACCTAGCCTTCAGGGTTCAACATGTCTACATCACTAAAACCGGGGGAAAAATCACGGCTTCCTTACTCCAGCCTGTGGCTGCCTGCCGTAAAAATGGG